GAAGCTAAGGACAGGAGAAAGGCGATACTGCTCAGCAAGGAAGAAGTGAGCGGTGAGACTGTGTGGAACTTAGAGATCGGATGTGTGTTATCTCAGCGTCCGCCCCAAGTCGAAGCAACAAGCCTGTGACCGTGTCATGTGTGACAGCTCACAGCGGCAAGCTTGAAGAAATCGAGTTGGCCGAAGTGGTGAGCAGTAGTGATATTCCACCTTGGCCACCACCGCAGCAGCAGATGATGCGTTGTCATAGCCCCGGATCGCCTTGACTTGTGAGTTGTGGTACGACGGTGAGAAGCCCTTTGGTGGGGAGAATGTTGCGAAACCACAAGTTCTCAAGAGTGAAAGGCTTTCTCGCTTGTGACATTGTGTTCGTTTCAATGCAGTTGTATCTCAGCTCTGCCGTACCGCTGAGGTTTGCGACGTGGTATACGCTACATGCACGATGTGCGGTTTGCTGTGTGCGCTGTAGTTGTATGTTGTATGTGTATGCTTTTCTCATATACGCTGTCATTTTCACGCTATAACTAGATGGTGGTGTTAGTGTTAGTTATCATTTTTTTATTTGTCGATCGAAGTGAAATATACTGCAAGAGTCAATAGTTGTCTTCGTGCCGTGTGGTCGTTCGTTCCTGACACTTTAGAGAACCAGAGGGTTCACAACACTCAGTACCGGATTTTTCGGAGTATAGTGCGCACCTTTGTATAACGCGCACCTCCAATCTTCATTGGTGGTGCGCACTTCAATATTCATTGAAGTACATGCATTTCATATTCAGAGCACAGTGCGCATCTGCCATTTAGGGCCTAAAATAGCACATCTAAAGTGCGCACTATACTCCGGAAAATACGGTATTCAAATGAGCTTGGCCGTCTCACACTTTCTCAGATCGAATCATTTTTTGTTGTAGCAGTTGCAGGGCAGATGTCCGCCATTATTTCAACAGGGTTTCGCTTCAAAGCATGCCTGGAACAAGCCATATCGAGATTGCAAGCTACCCCTCTCAGCAAGAAATTCGAAATTTCAATGGTAGAAGGTATACTACGAGGAGAATTTCAAAATCATAGGTATGGTTGTCCGCACGATCGTTCAAGCTACAGCATTCAAACTTTGCAGGATGGTTACGACCTACATGCTAGGCATGTCACTTTTGAGCGCTGCCTCCACCCTATTCACTAGATCCCCGATCTTTGCTGGCTATGTGTTTTGGGCAACATTACCAACGCAGGCCAAGACCAGCACGTCGATGGATAATTTTGTTGCTAAAATCTCTGCACAATTATAGGTTTCATGTATATCCTGCTGGTTTGTCTCCTCCTTCGCCTTCTTTGCCTTTTATTTGTATTCTTTTATCTGTTTTACTGCTGTGGTTGGCTTTCACCCTTGTCTCAGTTTTACTGGCCGTCATCATGATGTGCCATGAGATAATGATATAAATACAAATACAAATGTCATAGCTGACACACAAAGTCACATACACACCACATTCGTGTGCACAGATACTAAATTAGTGGACGTCGTCATCTTCTTCCCGCTGGTCTCAATTGTAGTATGATGCGCTATTTCGCCTGACGGCTCAATAACAAGGAAGCGGATGAAGGTGCCAAGAAGCACGAGGGGACTTGAGGTTAGGAGAGCAGAACTTCCGACAAGACACTCACACACATCAAGAGGTTAGGAGAGCAGAACTTCCGACAAGACACTCACACACATCAAGAGGTTAGGAGAGCAGAACTTCCGACAAGACACTCACACACATCAAGAGGTTAGGAGAGCAGAACTTCCGACAAGACACTCACACACATCAAGAGGTTAGGAGAGCAGAACTTCCGACAAGACACTCACACACATCAAGGGGCACATAGTCATACTGTTTGAAAATAGTGTATTTACCTTCCTGACCGATTTCTGCAGTTAGAATGCTTCATCAGAGGATGAAAGGGAAATGAAACAGCACTAGCTTATATACACAGTAGACAGTAGACATTACAGGCTGAGTACAGAAAAAGCTGCAATTAAATAATTTTTCAGCAGGCTCTACTATGCAATGCAGCTTTGAACTGTACTACATGTAATTGGGTGCAGACAGAACGGGAGGCAGGCATGTTTGAACTGGTGGTATTGGGTGCATATTGCAGTGCAGCGAGTTCAATGTAATTACTGCAGTACAGCGAGTTCAATGTGACAAAATCTTACAGTTCACAAGTCCATGAACCGTATGCTAGGCGTACAAATAATTTTGGTTGGTTCCAGAAATGTCTGAATATGAATAACGTTAGAACGAAACACAGGGGAGGCGGTACGCGGTAGACAGCACACGACTGGTATTGTGGAGTAACGCAAATATACAAAGGTACATGTAGTGTTCAGTAGTGGGTGATTCTCCTAGCAAGACAGAACGGGAGGCAGGCATGTTTGAACTGGTGGTATTGGGTAATATCAAACACGTCGGATGGTAGGGTGTTCCTTACAATGGACCCGCGTGCGGTTGGACGGTCATGGCCGGCTTTGGTAGCAGATTTGGGAGCCAATGTATGCCCTGGGGTCCATCCCGTTGATCCAGCGTGCGGCGGAGAACAAGGCAGTCCAAAGCTGGTTTTCAGATGATGCCACCGCAGCCAGTTCCTTTCCAAGGCTACGCTGCTGGTGGGCTGATATCGAGAAGCATGGGCGAGACTACGGCTATTACCCCAATGCCTCGAAGTCAGTACTTCCAGCAAACACACAACACTGGCCAGTCGTGCGTCCTTTGCATTGAGAATGTTCTCCGTCACGAGTACGAAAGCGTCTTCAGTGGAGTGGTTTTTTCGATATGCAAATTGCGTGGTTGGCTGCACATCGTTTGCCTCGAGGAACCTTACAGGTTGGCGATGTTCTTTTTTTCTACCTTTTCAAGCAACTTCGCATCAATTGGTAACAATGACACGGGACTGTAATTAGTGGCGACTGTTGGGCCTGCTTTGTAAAGCGGCTTTACAAGGGCGTGTTTGAACGGCTTCGGTAGGCGACAGGAATGCAAAGAGGCATTGAAGAGGTCGCATAAGTGCGGAGCAACAATATCACTGCAGGCTCGCAGGAGACGGCCAGGGATCTTGTCACTGCCTGTAGCCTTGTCAGGATTGATTGTGGCCAGTAATCACTGGACTGCCGGACAGGTCGTTGGTGTAATAGCTGATAGTGAGGTGCGCGTACAGGGATCGTGGGGTATCTGTAGGGTGTCCGGACGACTTGGATCAGTGATAATACTATTGAAGGAGCTGCTCACCGCAGAAACGTCGCACACTGGGTCCTGCCTAGCCTTGGAGCAGCCGATTACCGCGTTTCAAGGTTGACCACATTCTCCTTGGATCATGAGAGTGCTGCTCACATTGTCTGGTGAGAAAAGCGTTTCTTTTCCTGCGGATTGCGTTGGATGCCTGGACACCAGGCTGTCTTATACTGGGAGTATTTGTTATGAATTTTGCCGACACAACTATCACAGGTGCTGTGGTAAAACACTTCACTTTCTACTGTACAATCATGCACACACTGTCGCGGACAGCTAGCCAGCAGCTGCCACGACAACTTCAAGATGGGAGAGAGACCTGGTTCGTTGTTATTTCTTTCACCACATAAAGAACACTGCTTGGAGAGAGAAAACTACCGAGAGAAGGACACGAAGCACTACAAGAGAGCGCTCCGAAAAAGGATTCGCTCGCACGGTAGCCGTACGCATGCTGTGCCAGCGTACTGTGTGCAAAAATGTGAAACCAAAAATAGATTATCATGATTTTGCTGCGTGCAAAAGCCAGCCAGTTTGGGAAGTGCATCGTATACGCGTAGCGATCCCGCGATCGCGTATCGACGCTAAGATATCTAGATGGCGGCTGCACTGGAGCGCTGCCAGTGTGTGCATGCAAAAAAGGAAAATAAATAAATCAGAAAAATGCAGTTCAAATAAATCGACAGTTCGATCGAAGAGATCAAAGAATTCCACACATGCAATTCATTTCAGAACAAGATTATAGAGCGAAGCTAGTCATGTGTCAAGCTACCTTACTATAAATACTTAATATACCTAGAGCTTAGCTATGGGCAGCGGACCTGGACCCTATCGCTCCTGGGATATACCTTAGGTAAGAGTGCGACGAAAGACAAATTGTAAATACTGTAAATTCAAATTGCACTCGCGACATGTATTCAAATATTAACAGTCCGGCATTCGCACATATTGCGACAGGTGCTAAGTCAATCACAAGGCGAAAGAGAGGTACACAGAATAGATTGCGCTAAACAAACTACACGTCACAAAGTATAGTGACGTGATGACAAAGATGGGTGAAAAGCAGAAGCCGCGTGACAGCCAACAAAACCATTTTGGACGTCTAACGTCACATTTTGAAAGTTGCTAACTGCACAAGACAAATACTTCACGAATCTCGAAAGCTGACGTTGGGTAGAAAGGAGTGTGTGATAGTTGCGTCGGTAGGGTTCATAACACCTCCATTCTACACTATTTCATTCGTGTTTTGTAGAACATGATAGTTCGTTGAGTGTATACACATTGCGCCAATATCTTCTATAAAGCAATATCATTTAGTTCTACCCATCTCATTCAACATCTACCTTTCCTCTGATGAGTTCCCAACAACATAATGGAAAGAAACAAGGCTTGCCAGGAACAACGTCTAGCTGTTGTGGAGTGTGACTGGCGCAGTATTCGTGCTGGTGTCTGCAAGCGTCGTCTGGTCTCGTCTGGTCTCGTCTGGTCTCGTCTGGTCTCGTCTGGTCTCGTCTGGTCTCATCTGGTCTCGTCTGGTCTCGTCTGGTCAAAAGAAATATCTACCACACAAGTAATTGACGGACCTACTGAACATGGCATCAACAAAATTAAGACAGAGGATGCTCGGACCCCTAAATAGGTGGGCATATGTATGTGCAAGTTTGAATAATGCACATATACTTGGAAGGAGTACTACATGCGTGTACATGTAATTGAATTTGCCTTTGTGTACTTTTTCAGCACAGATACAAGTTGAAACCAGAGTATGATCATCAATAACTGACGTTGTATGAGTAACAACCTCGATTGCGGTAGTTGTTGCAGTAGAAAGCCAGCAATGGAGCGGCGACACACTGTAAGTAAGCCGAGTGGCTGCATTGGCTGGTGGCTGGATTTGAGGGGATCGGGACTAGCCCTTACCCAAAGGTGCTCGCCCTTTTTTCCGCCTTTTTTGGCCCTTTTTGGAAAAGCCCGTTTCTTTCGCCCTTTATTGCGCTTTTTGGTGACTATCGCCTTTTTGAGCTTTTTTAGCTGAAAAAGTGCTAAAATCTGTTTGCTCATGCATGCGATCACAGTTTCTGAGTGCTCGATGGGCCTTGGCACGCCGCTTTTTGGGGGGGGGGGGGGGGGGCAACAAGTTGGTGAAGCTTGTACCTGGGGACCGGTGTAAACAATGCTGTAAAAAGTGGGTTTTTTGAACTTTACTTCCTGTTTTGCCTTTCGTGGACCCATAAATGGAAGAGTGCGTATCTCAGCTTGGGTTCATATCTGAACATGTATCATGGCTAGGCCCAGACAGATTCTGCTCCGCTCGCCTCGATATTTTGCCGCAAAATGTTGCTGCGAAATCTTCGATATTTTGCCGAGCCTGGCACAAGAAACTCGATATTTTGCTCCATTTTCCTGTGGAAAACGTGTATTTTATCCTTTTCCCGTACAATCCCGTAAAACGTTCATAAAAATCGCAGGGTCGGTTTCTCAACACGGGTTTCCAAGCACGTGTCCCTGAGTTCTTCAAAAATCATGTCGATCCACAGTGAATCCCAGTGATGTTTCGGTGACCTGATCTCGTCCTGGGCAGTGTGTCCTGCTGAACGGGTAAGAAACAAGGAAATCCAAGTATCAGGCATCGATTTTACCCAACATCTCGATATTTTGCTCCGATTTTGCCGGCAATTTCCGCTCTTTCAATTCTTCGATATGTTGGCGAAAGAATTGCCGGCAGGATCTGTCTGGACCTAATCATGGCTATGCTTCACTGAAAAAAGAACACTTTTCAGCATATTTGAGGAACTCGAAAAGCACTAAGTGCGAATAGACCAATCCCGATAAGATTGTCTGGGTTCGTGAAAGGGGGCACGCGTGCAAGCCAGCACGTGTGAAGTGCATCGTTTTGTATTCAGTTTGTGTGTGTCAGCTCATGGCGGAGGAGAGAGAGACTTTTGCTCGCCGAGCTGAAGCTAAAGGATTTGATGGAGTCCTGCCAGCAGCTAGTCAAAGGACCTTCGGTACCTTAGGCAGACCCTGACGGAGTTTGGAGGCCAGATAGCTCTCGGTGAGGAGAGAAACATTCGCGTGGCGATCGACTCTCCGTAAAAAATGCAAGCTACATAGCGCCGACATACTGCAACAGCTACGATTTCAGCTAACTTCTCGATCTGCTGCTTCACAAAGTTCAACTATTTACAAGTCCTGACTGTTGTAGTCTGAAGCTGGAGTCTCATCGCCCACCCACAGGTAGCTTTTGGAGCTGATGCTGGATTTCCCGACTTGGACTCCTTCCGCAAACTCTCGCAACATTACTGCAGTGTATGCTGTGTTTCCGCACGCTCGTGTCGACATGTCACCTATACTGTACCGGGTCGCGGAGGAGCTTGACGACCTCCGCTGACTCCAGGTTTCCGAAATACTGCCGTCGTCTTCGTTGATGTCGCTGGTGACATTCTCCCCTTGCAGGACGTGCACATAGTTGTCGTCCCAGGGGTAAAGACTATGTTGTCTTTCGAAATAGTTCTTCATCACGCTCGCGCGAATGATGTTTCTCAATAGGAGGGCAGCTGCCAGGAAAGAGGCAGGACTCATCGAAGACGAAGCGCTCGCAACAAACAATAGCACTCGAAATATCTCGTAAGATTTAGGGCCTATCGCTTTGAGCCACAGCGCTCACAGCCTTGCCTACTTCATCAAAGTGAGCTCTACATGTTCGTTGACCTCTTCACACTACACAGAAGAGCGAAACAAGGATTATGTCTTAGCATTTCAACTCCAACAGCAGACCATTACCAGTGCGAGAGAGAAAACTACAAAGGGCTTTGCTTTCTGTCGCATCGTCTCTCTTGCATGCAACTGACGAGAAAACCGTGTACTTACCCTCGCATTCACACGCGAACTATCAAACACGTCCTGTGCCGCATGCTGATCAGGTAGTGCCATGTATGTGTTGTACAGTGTACTCTCAGTTGACATGCCCCCTTTCGAACCCAGACAATCTTTTCGGGATTGGTCTATTATAAGAGCACCTTTGGGAAAGGGCTAATCGGGACCCCCAGTGAGAACGGTTGTGAGGAAATGCAGTTTAAAATCAACTTGTTTTCGCCCAAATCTAGGTAAAGTTCCATATTGTTGCGTTATAGAAGAACTCTTGTTTTAGCATCTCAAAGCTACTGCTACTCAAGCCTGTTGGTTGTGCGAGCGACATGCACACTACTACTGATCATGCCCGGCCTTGATGGTTCTATGCAAGGAAACCATGTTACACACCATTGCAATTTCCAGGCTTGATATCATTGTCTGGTACCGGTATATTCTTGTGCGTTTACTGCCAGATGTTCTATGGACGTTCTCTTGGACTTGTTATATTGCTGTGGATGGCGATTACCAATGTGCGAAGCTGTCCTTCTATTTGTGTCTGTCATGGAAGCACAACAGACTGTGCAGACAAGGCACTATCAGCAGTACCGCGTAATGTATCAAGTAATTCAACATATTTGTAAGTAGTCAAAGTGGAGGATTGAAAAATGTCATAACATGTTACAACAAAACCATTTGCTATTCTGGTCAGGACTTTCGTGGCATTGCTTTTCAAAGCTGTACAATGATGGTGAGGATGTGAGTCATGTGAGCCTGCATGACAGCGTATAACACAACCTTTGTGCATAGCTAGGGTACGGTATAGTTTCCGTCATGTGACAAAGCTGCCGCGATTGTCATTTTCTCCCCTCCTTGTGACAGTTGCATGATTGATATCAAACATTTTTTAGTTATTCACTCTATCTCCCTCATCCAGTTGAAGTAACTTTTGTTGATTCTGTAAGAACTGGATTACTCACTTTGGCTTCTCTGTGATGGATGATACTGATTGGTTTGCAGGAAATTATATGACAACCAATTTGATATTCTGCAACGAAGCACCTTCGTTGGCCTGGAGTTTCTGGTTGGCATGTGAGTACACAGCGCATCTCAAAATCTTAGTCAAGAAGACAAGCTGAATCGACATGTGGTTACTATAATTATTTAAACGGAATATAGAGGGGAAGGCGGGAATTGAAAGGGGAAGATGACCGTCTTGAGTGCACGCACCTTCCCCTTTCTCATGATATTTGTTAGCGTAGAACATTCCAAGTTGGAAGGCTGTTGGTTTGCGCATTTGAGACGTAATAGAGCTTCCTCAGGTCGTTGAATGTCAGTACATGTAGCACATCAGTCAGTGTTGTGCTAACTATTGCACCTTGTGACTCAATAATATCTTGTTTAAAACAGAGAGGTTCCAGGCTGTCCAAGAGAGTGCTCAATACCGAGAGGCAGAGCTGGTTCAAACAATAAGAGGACAGAGAAAGTGTTTTCTCTGTCCTCTTATTGTTGTAATATCTTGTTTATAACTACTAAAACGGTTGCACAAAACTACAAAAATGTAGTTTTATTTATTTGAAACTCGGATGTTGAGCCAATAATCTGGTATCTGGTTACAGTGATGGAGAGTTACTCTTAACTCGTATAAATATGTCCTTTTCCTTTCTACAGTTTTAATATTGTTAGGTACTTCCTCCCGTACGTTCTACAGCCTTTTCCAAGCTGGCCTGCATGCACTCTCGTACTCACCTTTTGTCTCCTTTTGTCACCTTTTGTTCCGTCGGCCTGGGTAGCTACTTGCGCGCACATGTTTGCCATAGCTACCCAGGCCCTTTATCTTGCCGGCCTCACTCGATCTCGCTCACTCTTTCATAACGTAGTCATTTCGTTCGTTCTTGTCTCCATCTATTCGCCTCCCACAATACATGTTGTTCCACGTACCTGTTCCCATTGTCCGTTCTGTCTTGGGAGTATGACTCCTCTTCGTACCCAACAGTATTATAATCAGTTTCCTCGGAGACAAGAATGAATTGATACTAAGGAGAAATCACACTTCAGGCTCTTTGCCAACATCTTGAGAGTTTTCACGAGTATGCTCTCAAGCCTTCTCCTCAGGTGAAATTCAGGCAAAGGCAAAGGAACAAGAACAGTGGATTAAGTACAGTAGAGTGGTGATGCAACAGGGCAAAGACGAAGATAGCTAAAACCAACGCAAGGAAAACGCGTGACCTATACACATAGAAACAATAACACAAGGTGTAAGTGCGAGAAAACCTAACATGCGTGACAAGTATGAAAATGACCGTTCCTCAATTTGTCTATGATGGGTTTCAAGTTTTGTTGAAGAAGTTGAGTTTAGACCACAACATTTTAAAGTGTCCACGTATTGTTCTACCCTCACTGAGCGTATTGTTCTACCCTCACTGTGCGTATTGTTCTACCCTCACTGAGCGTATTGTTCTACCCTCACTGTGCGTATTGTTCTACCCTCACTGAGCGTATTGTTCTACCCTCACTGAGCGTATTGTTCTACCCTCACTGAGCGTATTGTTCTACCCTCACTGAGCGTATTGTTCTACCCTCACTGAGCGTATTGTTCTACCCTCACTGAGCGTATTGTTCTACCCTCACTGTGCGTATTGTTCTACCCTCACTGAGCGTATTGTTCTACCCTCACTGAGCGTATTGTTCTACCCTCACTGAGCGTATTGTTCTACCCTCACTGAGCGTATTGTTCTACCCTCACTGAGCGTATTGTTCTACCCTCACTGAGCGTATTGTTCTACCCTCACTGAGCGTATTGTTCTACCCTCACTGAGCGTATTGTTCTACCCTCACTGAGCGTATTGTTCTACCCTCACTGAGCGTATTGTTCTACCCTCACTGAGCGTATTGTTCTACCCTCACTGAGCGTATTGTTCTACCCTCACTGAGCGTATTGTTCTACCCTCACTGAGCGTATTGTTCTACCCTCACTGAGCGTATTGTTCTACCCTCACTGAGCGTATTGTTCTACCCTCACTGAGCGTATTGTTCTACCCTCACTGAGCGTATTGTTCTACCCTCACTGAGCGTATTGTTCTACCCTCACTGAGCGTATTGTTCTACCCTCACTGAGCGTATTGTTCTACCCTCACTGAGCGTATTGTTCTACCCTCACTGAGCGTATTGTTCTACCCTCACTGAGCGTATTGTTCTACCCTCACTGAGCGTATTGTTCTACCCTCACTGTGCGTATTGTTCTACCCTCACTGAGCGTATTGTTCTACCCTCACTGAGCGTATTGTTCTACCCTCACTGAGCGTATTGTTCTACCCTCACTGAGCGTATTGTTCTACCCTCACTGAGCGTATTGTTCTACCCTCACTGAGCGTATTGTTCTACCCTCACTGAGCGTATTGTTCTACCCTCACTGAGCGTATTGTTCTACCCTCACTGAGCGTATTGTTCTACCCTCACTGAGCGTATTGTTCTACCCTCACTGAGCGTATTGTTCTACCCTCACTGAGCGTATTGTTCTACCCTCACTGAGCGTATTGTTCTACCCTCACTGAGCGTATTGTTCTACCCTCACTGAGCGTATTGTTCTACCCTCACTGAGCGTATTGTTCTACCCTCACTGAGCGTATTGTTCTACCCTCACTGAGCGTATTGTTCTACCCTCACTGAGCGTATTGTTCTACCCTCACTGAGCGTATTGTTCTACCCTCACTGAGCGTATTGTTCTACCCTCACTGAGCGTATTGTTCTACCCTCACTGAGCGTATTGTTCTACCCTCACTGAGCGTATTGTTCTACCCTCACTGAGCGTATTGTTCTACCCTCACTGAGCGTATTGTTCTACCCTCACTGAGCGTATTGTTCTACCCTCACTGAGCGTATTGTTCTACCCTCACTGAGCGTATTGTTCTACCCTCACTGAGCGTATTGTTCTACCCTCACTGAGCGTATTGTTCTACCCTCACTGAGCGTATTGTTCTACCCTCACTGAGCGTATTGTTCTACCCTCACTGAGCGTATTGTTCTACCCTCACTGAGCGTATTGTTCTACCCTCACTGAGCGTATTGTTCTACCCTCACTGAGCGTATTGTTCTACCCTCACTGAGCGTATTGTTCTACCCTCACTGAGCGTATTGTTCTACCCTCACTGAGCGTATTGTTCTACCCTCACTGAGCGTATTGTTCTACCCTCACTGAGCCATTATGACTGAATCACACCTTTAAAATGTTTCCTTCTTTTTCTCTGTGGCAGTGATTTAAACTGGAATCGGATTCATACAATAGAGTACGATGCCTTCCATGGCTTGCCGATACTCACCTCGATGTAAGACTAAAATCTGTCTTCGCTTGTTTGATGTAGTGATACGTGTACCTCAGCTTCACTGTTATTATAATAATATTAATACAGCACGCATATAGCTCATATGAAAAATCAAATGAGGGTCATGCATCTGTCGACAACGTCGAGCCAGTGCGTTCTGTCTGAGGCAAGTTGCTCCGCTTCCAAAAGAGACATATTGAGAAGTAAAAGGTCATTCCTAATGTTGTCTACCCATCTGGTCACTGGGCGACCTCTGGGCTTCTTTATATCTGTTATATACATTGCCATGTGAAGGGCTTTGTAGGACACAGCGTCCTTCCCTTCGCGAATGACATGTCCAAGCCATAATATGCGCCGGCGTCTACAGACTGCACTTATTGGCCATTGAGCAGTTTTAGCATAAAGAGCATTATTCGAAATTTTATTGGGAAAGATGATTTCAAGTATGTATCTGAGTTTACGGCGGTGCCACACATCAATTTTGCTTTCTAAGGCTTTTGTTAGAGTCCATAGCGCGCAGTTATATAGGAGAACTGGCAAAATGAGACAGTTGAACATGCTTAAAGGAGCACTCCGGCTTCATTTTCGACGCCGAGTTTTCGATGGCAAGACGAAGGTAGGTGAAAGAGAAGACCCCTCGAACAAGAACGAGTCTCCAGAAGCGATCGAGTCGAGCGGGAAGACGACTTTTGAATTTCGCCGAGCGAGCGCTGATGACGTAATGAGAGATTAGCTTGCCGGTGGAAATGCACCTACGCACATACATTTCACATACTTTTTGGCCAATTTTCAATCGAAGAGGAGGTTGTTTTCTATGTTCTCCCAACGTTGTGAGCGATCCCGTCTTCTATACCCTTCCAGGTATCCTGAGGGTCCTCCAGAGGAGAATTTATCTCCAGCAAAGCGTTGTTGATCCGCTAAATTCGTCTCGAGACATATTCACCCAGTACTGATAAATGTAGAATGTTGAATCTGTGATAATTGTTGACGATGGAGAGAGAGGCTAATAAGCCGCTGTCTCAGGGAGAGTGAAGCTGCTGGAAGTAACAGCGGGGAGCCCGTTAGCATCACATGAGCACCCAGACTTCAAAGCAGCTTGACCAAATCGGAGGGTGCTGACTATTTCCCTCGTTGTGTATCGTGAATATTACACCAACATGAATTACTACACTTATGCTGGTGAGTTTTTCTTGTTTTTGTTCGTACACTAGTACCCATGGCATGGCATGCTATGGCCTGGAGTTCTCTTTAGCAAATTCCTATTCCCTGGCGTTTTCTAAATTTCTGTGTAGTACTGAATGCGCGATCACTGTATTCCGATTTGGGTAGATGTGGGTAAAAAAATTCTATTTTCCAAATAGAGCGTTGGTAGAGAAATGGTTGCCCAAATACAACAAAATTGATTCTAAAGTTCTACAACTTGTGCTAAAATCCAGTCGAAGTAAAAATGATTCTTCATGACAGTTGGGGTCAATGAAATCTGATCCAGGCATGAAGAATGGTGACGCCTGCCACCCCAAGAACGTATGCCCATTTGGTGGGGGATATCATAGTACTCGAAGCGGTGCGCGTTTCAGTGTGGCATTAGAAAGTTTTACATGATCTCTGGTCAATGCAACATACGATAGCCATCATGAATTGCAGGCCTCGAACGCAACTCAGACCAGAATTGGCAGTTCCCTAAGTTAGATGCTTTATAATTCCATGCCCACAGCTGTAGTTATAGAGGTTTTTGCACATTATAGTTATAGTCGATAGGTTCATACTGATGACCACAAACAACGGCAGTTCAAACTTCAAATTGTTCATGAGCTGAGAGATTTCTCTTCACTATTTCTGTTGTGCACACAGGTCTGTCCAATATGTATTGACCGCAGTGGGTATGGTTTCTGCTCTGAGAAGGGAATCGCTGGAGCCACAGTCCAGCTAAACAGGCTTGCAAGAAAGAGAGAGGAGCCATCTTGTCAAGGCTGATACCTGATGTGTACCCACAGAATTCTCACGAGATACCTCACAGACTACGTCTCAGGGGCGTAGGAGGGGTTTTGGAAGTGGTACGACCAAAGGTCGGTGCGGCCGAAGGCCGTGTTGGAGGGGGGTCCGGGGGACCTCCCGCGGGAAAATTTTGTAAAAAAGACACAAAATCCTGCGTTCTTGGAACTTCTGGCACACTTCAGGCCCAGTGTGCAGTCGAGTCGAGTACAGTACTCAGTACGACTGCAGATGCATAACAGATCTACGAGTACGAGTCTAGAAAATGGTCAAAGTCTGATGCGCATACAATACATTATTTAGAAAAGCGATCCTGTCACAGGTCAGCTTTTCTATTATTGTGTTCACATGGCGCTACCTAACGACACCGCTATTCAGACACGTTGTCTACGTAGCTACGTAAGTTTCTACGTAAGATGCTCGGTACCTGGTCCTGGACCAGGGAGCTACTCCATGGCTCCTACCATCGCGCGGCCGGCTGGCCGCATGCGTGTGCATTGCAGACTTTTTGTTGGTGCCTTTTCGGATGTGCATGCACGAGGAACTTCCTTCTTTGGAACTGCTTCTTGCATGAGCTGTTTCGGATATTTCGTCTCCTGGCCTGGCTTATTTCGTTTCGGCGCTGCTGAGACCTCCTTTCGCGGAATATTACTCAATGACAGGTGAGTTGACCAGTTCCCTTTGATTCATTTGCTTGTGTTGACTCTTTCATTTACGAAAAGTGTGCTGATTTTGGGCGGAATGCAATAAATAATGGAAAAGCTGACAGGATCTCCTTTCTAAATTTAGCTTTTCCGCTGCCGAGGCCTCCTTTTACGGAATACTCAATGACAGGTGATCTCTGAGTTGACCAGTTTCCTTCGATTCATTTGCTTATGCTCACCCTTTCATTTACGGAAACGTGTGCTGATTTTATTCGGATTTAGATCCATTTTATCTCTTTGCCCTTGCCTACAGTGTGCGAAGAACGCCAGTTCACCTTCTTGACGGTAAGGCTTATGTTGCTGCTGAGGCTTAGATGTGTTGTCGAAATACTCCTGTTCATTGTACATTGGTACGTTACAAGTAAGGCACTGGTCAGTGGCATACTATCGTTGGCAGTTCCCAATCTGGAGGGAAGGTTCAAGGACCCATTGACCGAGTATGCAAAATAAATTCGCATATCAGGGAAAATCTCCATTATGGAGGTTCAGTGACTTGTTTGCTTCATACGAAACAAGCCAATGGGTGCAGTCTCGTCTCGTGAAAATCTCGTACTTGTATGAATGGATTTGTTTACTCGAGTCTGGGCTGTTTGATTTGTGAGTACCGCCGAGATTGCACTGCCCCAAATAAAGTTGCGTGTCGCCAAAGCAAAAATTACGATCTGCAATCTGTTTGTAGTACGAGGTGATTTGGCTTTTTTTAACATTTGGCATTTTTTAACAAATGTGTAAAATTTGCTTTTCTTCTGGCTGTTTCTCTGCTCTGGATGGCTGTATCGAAACATGGGTGGTGGCAAATGAGAGCCAGTTTATCGTTGATCAACATTGACCAGAAAATTTGGTGCATATAATTTAATTCTCCCTGCCACGTTGGTATACCTAGTGGTGGGTGCTTTGCTGTTTTGTGTAAAATGTGTAAAATAAGCCCCTGAATGGACGAGGAGGGCAGTGAATTGCTTCCGCAGGGCCTTTGGACGACGTCAGGCCGTCTTGCCATCACTAGAGACAGTAATGAAGAACAGTAGGTCACGGAATACACTCTGTGAGAACGAAAACATCGCTGCGATGCTATGCTATCTATCCAATTCCACCGTATAACACAGCCACTAGTTACAAATACAAAAACACGGGTTTCGCAGCATACAATGCAGTTCACTCCTCTGTTGATAGATTAATTTCATCCACTAGCAATCCTTGAAGTGATATCTATCAACTTCAGAACATTGATGACCGAATATCCCAGTTTGTGATGCCATTTTACAAATTTGTTAAAAAATGACACCAATTATTTGAATCCTGAGAATACAATGAAAGTAGGACATGATTCAAGACACTTTCCAAAGTGGAATCATTCCCATTCTTGGACACAACGGGCATGAAGGATAGCACTTCCACTTGCAACAATTCATTTGGACGTAGCTTGTCTAGAAGTGACTGAAAAAACGTCATTTTACAACCATGTTAAAAAAAGCCAAACCACCTCGTACCTGCAAGAATGTGCTGTACATGTATCGTACTTTCTCTGTTGCTGTTTCAGTTGCCGTCATGTTGCTAAAGAAAGGTTCAGTGACTCATTTGTTTCATACGAGACGAGTCGGTGTGGCTTAGAATCTTTCGCTGTAGAAGAAATCTATTCGTATGTCTTTTGGAGAAATAATTGTATTCACTAGTTATAAATAGGTTAAGACAAACTCACATAATAGATACCATCGGTCCCTTGGTGTTCGTCCTAAAGAGGTTCGACTGGATATCATTCATACTCACCAAAAGATGTGTAAGATTTTATTATTATGGAGTGCCTTGTTTATCTCTCAGTACCTCCAACCATAGCCTTGCCCCTTTTCTCCTCAGGATCAGTGTAGTTGTTGGAACGAGGTGTCGGACTCGGCAATGTATTTGTTTACATTTTAATCCGTGTTTATTGTTCCTCCTTTGCTGTGTTGTTTTAGAAAATCGTGGACTAACAGTTTGAAGTCATTGAACTACTTCCAAAAGTTGTATCGACATCAACAGGATTACGATTTCAGTGCAATATGATGCAGGATGACCTTATCACGATAACCCATGATTATAAACCATTATAAACACAGAATCAACAAAACCATCTGCGACACGCACCTGGTTACATTTCTCAAATAAATCTGAAATATCTGAAAGGCAAGACAATTTTATGACAGAGTCATGAAATTCTGCCACAGCAACATGCACAGAATGACCTCCGTATAATAATAAAAAAAGTATCACCACGGTCCACCACTACTCACATGTTTCCTCGCAGAAGAACATAATTATGTACTGTTACATGCT